GGGAGGGATGGGGTTCCAAAGGTGGGGCTGGTTACCTCCTCATCCTCTCCTCAGAAACTCCACCTCCACCTGCCCCGCTCTGCTAGCCTCATCGCGGGGTCACTAAGCAGCACTGGCATTTCCTGATGTCTAGGTCTCCTAAGTCCTTCTAGGGACCCTTGTAATCCATCAATGAGGTCTTCAGCCTCTTCGTCTCCTGGGCCTTTGTCATGAGCACTTAATCACACTCAAGTCCTCCATCTTTATCAAACAAAGAGCCCTTTTCAGCTCCAGCTCTCCTCCAGCTACTGCCTTGGCTCTCTCCTCCCGTTCTCCACTAAGCCTCACTCCCGCCTCCATCGCTGCACTGAATCTAGGTTACCAAGGCCACCATGACCTTCTTAAGTTAACCTAATTGAAGGGCTGTGGTCAGCTTGCATGTAAATTTCCCATTGGTGCTGTTGACCCCACCCTCTTCTGTGATGTATCACCTTCCTTTGGCTTCCTGTTTTTTAAAAGCACAGCATCACTAGTAATGTTTGAGGATTCCAATTTCTCCACATCCTCACCAGCACTGGCTATTTGTCGCCACCCTAGTAGACATGAAGTGGCATGTCACTGTGGGTGTGATTTGCACACCCCTAATGGCTAATGATGTTGAGCATCTCTTCATTTGCTTTCAGCCACATGTATGTTTTCTTGGTGGGAGGGGAAAAGTCTATTCAAATCTTTGCCCAATTTAAGACTGAGTTACTTGTCTGATGGAAGGATGTTTGAGGGGAGGCAGCCAAGGTAAAGAAGGAAGAAGGAGGAAGGAGGTCATGCAGGGAACATGAAGGAGGGAGAAAAGAGAGAGAAACAGAGTGTAGACACTTGCCCCGAGGCTCATTTGCTTTCGAAGGACTGGGCTGAGGATGCTCTCTCCCCTCGGAGATAATCTGCCCAGATCACTCTCGCCTCTGTCACAGTAGGGAGGCACGGTGACCCATGCGACCAACCAGCCCAGCTCCCTTATTGGAAACAGCTGTGCAGATAGCAGCCCTGGGGCTGAAGCTTGGGGAGAGGATTTCACAACCTCTAGGGCTGTGTTTCAGTTGAGTTTCAAACACTGTCTGTGTATGTTTATGTGTGTGTGTTTCCTGGGTCTTGTAGGATTGCAAGGAGACCCAGCCTTGCAAAATAAGCTCAGAGTGTGCCTCGTATTTTGCTTTTGCTGATAGTAATGGAATGTACCAGTCTCCCAACGCCAGATCTGGGAGAAACCAAGGAGCAGGAAACAGAGAAGACATCTAACCCTAACGGGTTCCTCCCAGAGCACGTGAAGTGGGTGGGCGGTTAAAGCTGGGATAAAAAAAGACTGGGGAGGGTTTAGACGGGTTAATATTTTGATTGAATCCCATCCAGAAAAGACATATGAAACAGAGCTGTATTTTCTCTTTTCCATCCTCTTTACCAAGAAGCAGGCAGAATCTACGTTAACCGTCTTCCAGACAGGGAAGGGACAGCTGAGAGCCCAGAAAGGTTGTAATCATCTGTTTTCCTTCTGCCTATGAGACACTTCTAAAGGAGCGGGGAGAATTGCCTTTATTTATTTTTTAAAATTAAAATTTAGTGTTTTTTTTTGGTGGGGGAGACATCTATGTATTTTATTTATTTATTTATTTATTTATTTATTTATTTATTTATTTATTTATTTATTTATTTAGCGGAAGTCCTGGGGATTGAAACCAGGACCTCGTGCGTGCTAAGCAGGCACTTTACCACTGAGCTCTACCCTCCCCCTGAGAATTGCCTTCATATCATTCCAAGAAGGAAAGAGAAGATGCTGTCCTGGATGAGAAGTAGGGACTTGGACCAGATCACTGATTCTCATCCATTAGAATGAACTGGGGAGCTTTTAAAATCTCAACATCTGGACTTCATCCCGGACAGATTAAATAGGACCTTTGGGGGTGGGACCCTGACGTCAGGGCTTTAAAGGTCCCCAGGTGATCACCATGTGTAACCAGAGTGAAATCACTTAATTCTATGAATCCTGATTTCTGAAGCTCCCTTACATTTCTGTATTTGAAATTAGTGATCTAGGAACAAAACTGTCTGTGCCTGGGAAGATTTCTCTACACTTAGTCAGGACAGTATTTAGATTTTAGCTAGAGTAGTTATCCCCCAATTAATGTTAATAAGTGTTCAGTGGAGAATGTGGTAAACTAGTGGCTTGGTGGTCAAATAAGGATGGAAATGTTGACTCCACATCACAGGCTGTCGGGGTTAAAGGGATCCTGGAAGGACACCTAGGAATCTCACTGGTTCCAAAGTGTGGTCCTCAGACCAGAAGCAGCAGCGTCACCTGGGAGCTTGTTAGAAGTCACAGTTCCCAGGCCCCACCCCTGACCTGCCGAGTCAGGAACTCGGAGTGGGGTTCAGCAATCTGTGTTCGAATGAAACTTCCAGGGGGTGTCTGTGCTCCAGCGGGAGAACCACTGATCTGCTATAGGAACCCGAGTGAAAACGCTCTCAGGGTCCCTTTCAGTCTTCTTTCTCAGGCTGCACATTCTCAATTCCTTCTGCCATTTGTCCTTGAAAGGTAAGCAAATTTTCTGAAATCAGAGTGGCTCCGGAATGTCGGAAGCCTTGAGGACCATCTTGGAAAATGTTCAAGGGACACAGATTCTAATTTCCATACTTTCTTGTTAAGTCTCTGTGCATGAACTCTGCTTTGGCAACGCCCCGTTAAAAGCCCAGGTCTCAACAGCTACCACGGAGACAATGAACAATCTTCCCAAGGTGACAGTTCACTCGGTAGAGATGATGGGAGAGATATGCCAAGCAGAGAAACCAGACTAGGCAAAGGCACAGTGACAGAAAAGATTCTGGCATGTTCAGGGAATGGTGAGCAATTCCAGGTGGCTGGAGCCTATTGGGAGTGATGAAGGAAACTGGGGCGGGGGTGGGTAGCAGATGAAATGAAAAGGGAAGCCTTTCTACATCAAGCTAAGAATTTGGGGCTTTTTCCTAGTCTTTGCAAGTCTGGAAGCCTTGGAATGGCAGGCAGAGACCCGTGTTTTAGGAAGAGTGCAGTGGTGGGGACACACTGGAAGCAGAGGGATGGCTTAAGCAAAGAATGCCATATGCTTAGCGAACTCCTTACATTTTAGGATCAGATGTGTTGCTGGTTTGCTATTTAAGTGGCTTCTTCTGGCATTTTCTCTTTTACATTGGCTCAGGATTTCTTGGTGGGCTCCAAAAAACAAGAGGACTGTGAGCCCATCCCAGGCAGAAAGAGGCAGATGAGTGGTGGCTGACAGAAGGCATTCATGTCTCCTGCTATCGTCCCATTCATGTCTTCCCTGACCTGGGGCTTGGACAGCGCCCAGCAGGTGGGCACCAATCCCATGGAAGGATGTGGCTCTGGGCCCAGGCTTCCCCCAGCCCTTTGCTCTGCCCAGCTTTCCCAGTAGCCTCAAAGGCTTTGCTGGTGAGTCCGTGTCTGTCTCTGGAGTGCTGAGTGGGGTTCACTAGGGGAAGGATGGATCAGACAGGAACTGAGAAGGAAGAATCACCAGGTTTCTGTGAGGTCAACACAGAACAACTATTTCAACAGTGTTTGAAATAACTCAGAATGTCACTGAGAATGTAATTCGGTGATTTTTGTTTTTGTTTTTGTTTTAAAGGAAAAATTCAGAACCTGTGACTCTTGTTCACGAGCACATGCCTGGATGTAGTCATTTTGAGTTTATGGAAAATGTGGTCAGCCCATAAATCAGTGCTAAGGAATTCTTACACAGAGTCATCACCATGCAAGGAAGGCAGGTCTGCAGTGAGTCTCCAAAGGTTTTGCAAAACAAAACACTAAGCATGTAGACAAAGCTACAGGATAGTCCTCCCTTCCCCTGGAATTTGTTCCTGAGTTGCCATAAGGCAGCTCTGAATTCTCTTTCCTACCTAAACTGTGACCTTTCTTGTGTCTCTCCATGTGTACGTCTAGGTGTCTGCGGCTGTCACCATGACTACAAGGATACAGTCCTCTGCATTGATTTCTCTCATGTGTCTTAAAATTCTGGCAGGATTTCTATACAGAAAGCCCATTTTAAAGTAGGCTCTACATTGTCATTTGTGACACTGCTGAGAATGTGGTCAAGTTATCCTAATTCTCAGACCTCCTGTTCTTCAACTATTATTTTGTGTGGCTGGAGAATGAAAATTCAAGGTGGCACTGTACTCCTCAGAAGCACAGGGAACATCTTTCAAATGTCAAATGCAAACTCTCATTCAGAGTCAGTAAAGACGAGATTCAATTTAGCTGTGATTCATCAGAAGAAATTCCATCCATTTTCATTCCATTGTTGTTGGATTCATCCAATCAGCCTTTTGCCCTCAAACAGTTTTGGTTCTTCTGTTTGCTCTATGATAATATTTCTCTCTAACCTTCCTCTTTCCTACACTCCCTTCTCTGTCTGCTCCAGTTTATAAATCTATTTCTGCCAAACTGGTCAGCGAAGAACGGAATTTTTTTCCCCCGGAAACAAAAAATGTTTATTATTTTTATTTTAATTACCAATACCACACATAAAGATATATTTTTCCTCAAGGAGACTGAAGAATAAGTTGTTTCTATTTCTTATAAATATATACAAAGAACAGAATGTTGACAAATTTTAATAGGGCTATTTTTCAGTGGCTCAAAAAAAAATGGGCTTGTAACACTGGGCTAGGATGTTGTGTCACAAAAAATTGTACTGCTCAACCTGAGTTTGGGTATCTTATTGTTTTTCCCCTGATTTGTTAGATGAGTCTCAATAGTGCTAAAAAAAATTCTTAATTTCCCAAAGAAACCAGATGTAGGACTTTCAAGGCCAAACAGAAGGCCTGAGTACAAACCTCCTGGCGTAGGCTCATTTCTGTTACCTGAAGAGTTTGTAACTTTAAAATCTGCTCTAGCGATGGGCTCTTGTTGACTTTCACAGACAAAATACAAATTCCTTATGTTATGAGGGCCAAGGTGGTCCAGCATTTATATGCTGTTTTTTTTTTTAACATCATACTTGCCTGCTGTCCCTGCAGGGACAGCTAAGGGGGCAGCAGTCTGCGCAGCTCTGAAACTTTAGACCCCAAATCCCCTCAGCCACAAGCCACCCATTGTCACGAAATGCCAGGGAGGGGGCCCTGCCTAACTGGGCCTTCTCTCATGTTGCGCCATGTGGCAGAGTGGGCGGGGGAAAGATGTGGGTATGGCTGGTACACATCACTTGCAAGACGGTTGGGATTTCTGTGTCAACCTTTCCGGACAGTAGAAGAGCATAAAGTGAATACTCCTAATAATATTTGCCATTGACCGAGCATTACTAAGTGTTCAACAGTGGGCCAAATGCGTTGCCAACGCTACCTTCTCCAACCAGCCACACTATGAAATAGATATTTATCAACAGCTTTTCAAAGAGGAAGGTCAGAGAGGTTACGTGATTTGCCTAGTTAGGAAGTGAGATTCAAACCCAACTCTTCCTGATTGGAAAGGAGCTCTAAATGAGACACCTTCATTTTGCTTTTGGGCTCACACTGCCTGATTCCCAGAGAAGTGGAAGGAAGAAGCAGGTCGCTGGGAGTTGAGGGAGAAATTGGTTCCAAGCTTTGCTCTGGAGAATTTATGAGAGACAGCCTGGCTCTTGTAGGAAGGCACAGCAGGGGTCTGGTTTCAGCAGAACTGAGGTTTGTTTCCAGTGTTGTTACTATCGGAATGGAACAAGTGAGTCAGTTTCTCTTGTCTTCTGTTTCCTCGTTTACAAAATGAGGGATTGGGGTAGATGGTTTCTAGCATCTCTGCTGCCCCCTCCTTTTCTGTCTCCTCCTCGTCGGAGACACTCTGAGCTTGGCCCTGACAATTTCAGGGCAGATCCTCACCAGGGTGGAAGGCCCCCCTGTGGTCCTGGACCAGCTGGACCCAACACCTGCTGGAAGATGGGGGAGATATCTGTGGCCCCTATTCCCTTGCTCCGTCTTGTGGCCGTGGCGTCCTGCTCGTCACCACCGGCCAGTGTGGCCAAGGAGTGGCAGGCTTCTCCCCGGGAGCTGCCGAAGTAAGAACCAGCCTCACTTTATTTACTTCCTGTACCTATAAATTCAGGAGCTCAATTCCCAGGAAGTTAAACCTCACCTATTGCTGTCAAATACTCTTCAGAAAAGCCAGTTGAAACTCAAGATCTTGTGAAAACCAGAATTTTGAAACTCAGTGTCAGATTTGTCACAACAAGAAATAATAGCAGGGTTCGTATATCTGGAGTTACTCCAGCTCAACAACCAGAGAGAGAAAAAGAATGCACAGGCGCGCGACACCGATAATGAATCCTACCGTGTCTCCTGGCTGTGGACGCATCACGGACACACGGTCATATCCTTTCCGCAGCAGGACCCACAAGGCATCAAGTTTTCCCTGAAAGAAAACAAAGGCACCAAGATTACACCCGAAACCTGACCGGGGTCACCACAGGCATGCAGAACTTTCCATGGCTTCTTCCGTCACGTGAACCATACATCATCAGCAATGCAGTTGTGACAGGCTGACTCTCCAGTCCCTTAGTTCAAAATGTGGGCCTCAGGAACACAAGAGGAGCAGACACACATCCCAGAGGGACCTGATGATCACGCGGAAGCCACCGAAGATCTTAGTGCAGCCCCAGATTTGCAAACAGGGAGAATTCATTCAGGCTCTCGGCTTTTTCCTTTATCACATTTCTGGATGTAGCCTCACACCACAAGTCAGTCTTTTCAACGTGCACTCAAGTTTTTTCTTCCCAGGACCAATGAGAGATCCCTGGGGTGCAGATCCCTGACTGCCCCTAAAACTTACTCTGGAATCCCAGGCTCGAGGGACGAATTACCAAAGATCACAGGTTACCACAAACCACAACTCCTTTGGATTCATAGGAAACTGGTTGAATCTGGGGAGAGTGAGTCCGCAAGTGCTAACGTGTTCACAGTATGTGACTTACGGGAGTCTGACGTTCTAGTGCCCCAGAAATGCTGAGTGGAGGCTGGTTTCTGCCACTACAAACACTGACAGAAAAAAGTGATGTTTATTTTTTAGCTTTGCTCTTCTTATTAACCTGGGTTGGTGACTCCATCCACAGGCAGAAGTTGCCTTTCCTTTGCCTGTTTTTCCCTTCATCCCTCTTACACGGAGCAGGACAAGTTTCTACTGTACAGCACAGGGAACTATATTCAATATCTTGTAGTAACTTATAATGAAAAAGAATATGTGTATGTATATGTATGACTGCAGCATTGTGCTGTACACCAGAAACTGACACAATACTGTAAACTGACTATATTTCAATAAAAAACAAAAACAAGGTTTCTAAACTGTGGGTTGCAACTCATCAAGCCTTCATGAAACACTTTTGTGTATTAGGGCCAGAATTTTTAAGAAATAAATTAGAATAGGAAAGAAAATATTTGAGTTACCTGCATACGGTGGGGACAAGTATTATCTTGTGAAATATGTGTATCAGCTAAATGTGTATGGGCGTGTGTATGTGTGTGTGAAGTGTGTGCACACGTAAGCTTATCCTGGGCCAAAATGTATTTCCTACTGGGTCTCAGTCAGGCATGTTTGGAACCACTGATCCGGAAGAGATCTTCGAAGGATGGGGTTGAAAGGCTGGGGGAGTCTAGAGACGTCAAGTTCATTGCCACAAAGCTGTTGTAGTGGCAGGGTCAATTTAAGAATGCCACCTCGAGACTGGGCGTTCTGAAATCATTTTCTGGTGGGTTTTATTTAGATACCAAAAATTTGCTCTGGAACTTTCAGTAACTGTTGCTCGAGTTCTCGTGGGTTAAACTTTGTCTGGCTAAGTGTAATGTTTCTCATCTCTCTTGGCCAAGTATTTACAAAAGCCTCTGAAAATATTTTGAAATGACTTTAGGATGCTGGAAAGGACTGCTGCTGTGAGCAGCATGGTTTTCTGCAGTAAACTGTTTCAATCATCAGTCAAATGCTTTCCTTTAAGGTTCTGTAGGGTAAGCATTTATATTTCAGGATATAACCAGGTGGATTTCCTGGACGATTGCCTCTTTGATTTTCCTGCCCTTTTTTGGAAGGGACTCTAGGAATCTGGCTTTGTGAATCCTGCCCCCCGCAACTGTTCTGTGCATTAATCACTCAACTCCTTGACGAATGAAGAGCCATGAGATGGGGCTGAAAGAAAATGTGGCTGTTGAAGTGTATTAACTCAGCAGAAATCTAAAGCTTCAGGCAGAGCAAAGCGGCAGAAACCGCCTAGATGTGTAACACCAGGAGGATGGGTTATGTTTCTTTGTGGCAACAGATCATAGGGTGATGTTTAAGCAAAAAAAATAACTGGATTCAGACTGTTTATATTCTGGGGTTACCCCTCACCAGCTCTGCTGCAGCCTCGGACAAGCTGTTTCATGTCCTT